ATAATTACTAATTTCCTTATTTATCCGTTGATTTGTGGTTAAGATTGGTTCTCACAGTTACCACAAACAACTCAGTTCTCACTTGAATAGGCCCCTATATATATATATATATGTGTGTGTGTGTGTGTGTGTGAAGCTCTTATTCTTTTCGCTATGTTCTTGAGACCTTTTTTACAAAAGAAGATTCCCTGATTAATTGGAGAGAGATTTAAAAGGTTATACATATTATAACATGATCATAGAGTCATTCTTAGGGGCACTGTCTAGCCTCCATTTCTGGAGGCGTGAAAAATCCTACGTCAATTAGACACACATGTATGTACATATATAGGAACCTCTTTTCTCTCAATAATAAAACGAAGTTTTGATTAAATGTCATTGTAGCTTGTGGGCAAAATCACAGCACCGAAGACACTCGCTGGATGGAAGAATTGTACTAGCAAAGAGTATTGGATATATTTATCGTCAGTGAAAGGACTCACTATTGTTGGACCTGGGCAATTTGATGGCCAGGGCTCGCTCTGGTGGGGAAATGACGAGGTTAAGTTTTTGTTCGAGCTTGACTAGTTGAATACATATAAATACATAAAAAGCATCGGACTCATTGATCCTTTTTTGCAGGCATCAACAAAAACTTGCAATCGTCCCTCGGTAAGATGTGTGGTTTTTATGTTAAAGCATTCGAACAGTCGACATGTGTTCAGAAAACTAACGTGTAAACATGAATCATTTAGGCTTTACATTTTCATGACTGCAATGGCCTTCGGCTGAAAGGTACAACACACATTAACAGCCCGAAGCTGCATATAAGCATTAACGGTTGCAAAGATGTGGATATCAGAGGTGTTCGGATTTTAGCGCCAAAAGACAGTCCCAATACCGATGGGATCGACATCAGTGATTCAACCCATGTTAATATCCATCACTCCAATATTCAGACCGGTATGATACATATTAATGTTGAAGTCCCACATCCACTAGATAAAGACCGTAAAAATATCTTTTTTATATTGTTTCTAATCGATCATTTTGATTTATACTTTAATAGGTGATGATTGTGTGGCTATTAATGGTGGTGTCTATGATGTGAATGTAACCAGGGTATTCTGTGGACCTGGTCATGGCATAAGGTAGTGTGTGTGTATATATATATATATATATTTGATGTTTTTTAGATCTCTTTTAATTTTACAAAATTTCCTTCACTTCATGTATGCATTCTTTTTCGCAGTATTGGAAGCCTCGGGGAACATGGCAGTCACGACACAGTTGAGAAAGTACGAGTAGAAAATTGTAATATCTCTGGAACACAGAACGGGTTACGTATCAAGACAGTACCGGTAAACTTATATATAACTTGAGGACAATTTTTAACGTTTGAACTTTTTCTATATCGTTAGATGTTTATCCGTTTCATGTACTCTAATTGTAGTATGGAACCGGGTACGCAAGGGGGATAGTGTTTCGGAAAATTCATCTGGTAAATGTTGAGAATCCTATCATAATTGATCAACATTACTGCGCTAACACTGAAAATGCTATTTGCCCTTCACCAGTAAGTCTTGTAACAGCAATTGTTCCTTTAGATATATATATATATATATATATATATATTCTTTGATTAGTAGTAGTAAAATTGTTCGAGTTCAATTAATTTGTGTTATTTTAGCCGTCAGCACCAGCAGTACAAGTGAGCGATGTGAGGTATGAGAATATATACGGGTCTTCAGCAACAACGCAGGCGATTACTTTCAGTTGTAGCGGGAAGTATAAATGTACCGGAATCCAAACAAACGGAGTTAGAATCACTGGACACAACGATTTTGCTTTTTGCAAAAACGCTCAAGGAAGATTTATTGACACTACTCCTCATGTTACTTGTGATTAGAAAGATATGATGGTGATTTGCCCTCACCCCACCCCACGTTGGGATATATAATGTTACAGAATATATTTGATTCAATAAAGCAAATTACTTTAAGCACTTCTTATGTGTAGGTGAGTAAGTTTGATGATATATATGATGGTGAAAATACTGGTAAATTACACAGAAATTGGGACTTAAAAGATGATGTATATGACGATGATATATAAAAGTTCATGAAAGTGACTTAAAAATGAAGATAAATTTGAAAATAAAGGTAGATGAATGTTGTTGAAGGTAGTTGGATCTGGTTGGAGGGACCTTCAACGTTATTGATTTTGCTACTGTATTGGGTATAATCAGTTGGGTAATTAATTCCGGTGATTACCTAGGGATTACGGATGGGACCTTCAACTTTATTGATTTTGCTATGACCCGTATTTTATGGATGATCCTTCGGTAATTAGCGACGAAAAATATAAAGGTACAAGAAGTTCAATAATATTTTACGGTTTCACGAAAATATTCTTGGTTTTGAGAAAATGACAAAACAAACCTTTTAGTTTGGTTTTGTCAATTTTTACCCCCAATTAGTTTCCTTATTTTTCAAGGTTATTACACAAATATGTTTGAGTATCAATGTATGTTTGTGTATATATTTTGTATATAACATTTGTTTTCGTAAAACCAGAAAATAACATTAAACCTTTACAGTAAAATATTATAAGTGTACAAAAAATTCAATGATATTTTGAGGTTTCACGGTGTCATGAAAATATATTAGTCTCACATGATCCCAAACCTACATTAATTTTTTTAATGATATAATGAATGTTAAAATCTTAAAATAAAATAAAAAAACATAATTTCACTTATATTATGTTTATTTAAAAAGATGTTTATTTATCTACTAAAATAAAATAAAAAAAACATAATTTCACTTATTTTTTTAATAAGTGAAATTTTTAATTTCACTTATTTTAACATATATATATATATATATATATATATTCGAAGATTAAATTGTATGAATTGAATATTTTAAATTGTATGAATCCATATTTTAAATCGTATGAATTGGTTACTTTTGTTCACAGATTTGGTTTGTTATATATTATTATTTTCAGATTTTTTAAAAATAAATACAGAATTTATGTATTTTTTAAAAATTTATTTTTTAATTTTTTACAAATTAGCGACGGATTAGCGAGAGAAAATCCATCGCTGAAAGTGCTTGAATTTCCCTCGCAAATCCGTCGCTGAAAGTGCCCTCGCAAATCGTCGCTGATCCGTCGCTAAATACTTCCCTTGCTGATTCGTCGCTGAAAGTGTCTGTCGCAAATCCGTCGCTGATTTCCGTCGCTGATAGCATTACCTACGACTGTTTGACCGACGGAGTATCACCGACGGATCAACGACGGAAACCCCTTTCACCGACGGATCAGCGAGGGAATATTCATTAAACAACTTATGTTAAGCCCATTATTATCTTGATTTAGTTATATAAAAAATAGTAAGAACATCAAACACACACACACACATATATATATATATATGTATGTATGTATATGTATATATATGTATGTATGTATATATATGTGTATTGTATATATATATAGATATATATATATATATATGATCAAACACAGACCATTAAATATGTATCTATGTATGAACCTCTCTTCAACTCTTTAGAGAGAGATTCAGTTAATTGGGTTCCACATATCAAATGTTGATTACTTATAAATGTGTCTGTAGCTTTTGGGAAACATCAGTGCACCGAAGACACTCGCAGGATGGAAGGATTGCATCAGCAGTGTCTTCTGGATACATTTTTCAATGGTGAAAGGACTAACAATCCATGGACCTGGGCAAATTGATGGCCAGGGTTCGCTCTGGTGGGGAAAGGCGAAGGTTACTACACGTTTCTGAATCGAACTACACTACAATTTCAAACAGCATAAATAAGCCTCCGACTCATTGTTCTCTTTTTGCAGGCATTAATCAACACTTGCGATAGCCCGACGGTAATTAAGATGTCTGGTTTTTATGATAAGGGATCGATCACAACGCATATATATATATATCGACTCTTAGAAATCTTAACTTGAATCAGGCTTTACATTTCAATGCCTGCAATGGCCTTCGGCTGAGAGGTACGTCACATGTTAACAGCCCTAGGCTACATATCAGCATTCACGGTTGTCAAGACGTAGATATCGGAAATGTTCTAATCTTAGCACCCGGAAACAGCCCCAACACCGATGGGATCGACATCGGTCATTCATCCCATGTTAATTAATATCCACGACTCTAATATTCAAACCTGTATAGTCCTACATTGGGTAGATACAGACACCAACTAATATATATTTATATATAGGTTTGATACACAATTAAACAGTGTGGCTGTTAATGGTGGCGTCTATGATGCAAATGTAACGCGGGTGTTCTGTGGACCTGGTCATGGCATTGGCATAAGGTATTATACCAAATTATTGATGCTTTTTAGATCTCTTTTAGTTATACAAAATTTCCTTCACTCCATGAGAATGTGTTCTCTTTGGCAGTATCGGAAGCCTCGGTGAAAACCGCGGTCGCGATATTGTCGAAAAAGTACGAGTAGAAGATTGTAACATCACAGGAACAACAAACGGGTTACGTATCAAGACAGTACCAGTAAACCTACGACAACTTAATATCTGACCTAATTTCTCTGTAACACTTAGAAGATGTGGCTTGTTTGACCATTTTTATCTGTGTTTTGTATTGCAGTATGGAAGAGGGTACGCTAGAGGGATCATATTCCGAAATATTAATCTCATAAATGTTAAAAGACCTATCATAATTGATCAACATTACTGCAGTAATAGTAATTCTGAATATGCTGCTTGTCGTTCACCGGTAAGTCTTGTAACAACATTTGTTCCTTTGTATGTATATATTTTAGTAGTATTAATCGAGTTTGATTGTGTTATTTTAGCCTTCGGCACCAGCAATACAAGTGAGCGATGTGAGGTATGAGAACATATACGGGTCTTCAGCAACACAGCGGGCGATTATTTTTAGTTGCAGTAAGAAATATAAGTGTATCGGAATCCAAACAAACAGAGTTGTAATCACTGGAAACAACGTTTTTGTCGTGTGCAAAAATGTTGAAGGAAATTTTGTTGATACCACCACTCCAGATACATGCAGGTAGATCAATTAGCTTGTAACTGACCCTTCACCCGAAACTCAGGACATATATAGGGTTGGTTTTCGGTAGAATTGATGTTAAGTGATGTTAGTTTATTTTTATACAAACATATGTTAACATCTTCACGTTAACATTTTTAATAATGTTTTACCATTCTTCCCAATTTTTTATTTTCTATTGCATCCTAATTCATTCTCTCTTTCTCTCTCAGTTGGTTCCCGTCCTCCTGCAGTTACGGGCCGGATTGGGCCCATTTGGCCATCTCTACCCATTAGTCATGGTTGATATCTTGGTACATCAAAATATTCTTGTTACCTTGAAAATGTTGTTTTTTCTATTCATAATTTCTTTTTCATCATCAATGATTTGATATAGCTTATCCATACTCCTTTCTTACAAGTATATCACACATTCAACTACTTTTCAATTTGCGTATATATGTTCACCTTTACGAAACACATATACGAAGTAGCTATATAGAGATGGAGAAAGAGATCAAAAATATATATATGAAAATGCTACATGATGGTGTAATTGTATAATATACATATTAATATTAATAAAGACTCAATAATCATACTAAATCCAACAAATAAAAGGATATCGGGTTCATCGTGTTTGGTTGGATTCAAATAACCATAACCCAATTCCAACTCAATACCTACGTTTTGAAGATTTTACAACTCGTTGAGTTGCTTCGGATTGGGATAGGAATGATGGAGAATCACTTAGAAGAAGAAAATACATGGCGGTGTTGTATGTTAGGGAAATCGCAGCATCTCAAAGAGGAATATCCAAGCCTTTTCCAATCTCCACTCCAATCATCTCAAGTATGCCTTTGTTCAAGATCTGCTCAAAACACACCATAATCCATATATATATATGAAGCAACAATCGTTAGTTTCAAATCCAAATACCAGTTTCTGAATAAAGATTGTGTACCAGTTCCACGATAAAAGTGCCAATTAGACCAATCATGCAAGCTCTAGAGTTCCATATCTCAGCAGTTCTTGTGAAACCCAGAAAAGGGGCTTGAAATTTAGGCTCTGCTTTTGGGATTTCCACCTGATGAATATACATCCATTTCATGTTTCTGTGGATATATGAGAGTATTTGCCTCAAGGGAAAAAGAACATGTATACTGTATACATACCCCAGCAGGAAGCTTGGCAGCTTGAATCTTGAAGGAGACGACTCTTTTCCTGGAGATTTGGTTGGGTTTAATCAAATGGACGCCGGAATATCGTTGATTCAAAGGTTGTAGGAAACATGATGATGAGATTGCAGCCATTGTTGCTTGTTTTAGTTTCGTTTCAGAAGCCTTGGATGGGTATAACGTCTGTGGCCTTATCCACTCTTGGTTGCAGCAAACTTCTCCACCGTTCATTCATCACTTGGTAGGAACATGATGACGTCAAAAAGGAAAATTATAAACTATTTTTAAATGAGGGAGCAACAATTTTTAAAACTTTGATGGTTTATTAGTTAAAAAAATTAAAGTTTATTAGTTTTTTATTTAAAAAAAGGTTTAGGAACTAAATCATTTTAAATGAAAAGGTTTAATGATTTTTTTATTTAAAAAACTAAAAAACTAAACCATTTAAAATGAATCTAATGAAATTTTAAACTTTACATGTTGTGGCTTAAGGCTTGTGTCTGACGTCATGTTAAGTCTGTGGCACGTCATGATCTAATACACGGTTTTTGTAACTCAATATTTTATTGTTTTTACTTTTTCAATGTGTTATTTGTTACTTTCCAATGTATAATTTAATTAAATTATTTAATATCATTGACTCATTGAGTAATAGTAGAAAATATGTTTATATGCATAATAATTTATACGATATAAAGATTTGCTGCCATAAGGCATGCCTTAAAAAACATCGTGACCTCACCGTGACTCCTAAAACTTAAAATTTGACCTTGTCGTCGTACCACACCTCACGTATGGTTTCTAGTTTCTACATTGTTCCCTCCACCAGTTTGATGTCTTTGTGATTGAATAGCAATAAACTCATACAAAGGTTCAAAGCATAGAAAGTATGCTAAGAAAACTGGTGTGTTTTTTTATGGGATGTTTTGCATAAATATTAAATTATTTTTTAATTTTTTATTTTAAGATATGATATTTCAAACATTTAAGTAGTTGAGTAATCGATTAAACATTATATGGTTACTATACTAACACGATAAGTAATATGACATACAAACTTGGTACAATTTGTTGAAGTGACCAATGATGTATACTTTTAATTTAAAATTAGTTTTCATATATTTTTTTACTAAAGTTTTATGATAAAAACAAAACCTAATCCATCGTTCTACAGTCAATTACTTTGAAAAACCTATAAGCTTGAAATCGAATGAACTACGGATTGATGGTCTTACTTGTACCCTTCTAAAGACGACATTTATATCGATGTCTTCCACATTAACATCATTTATGCTCTCTACAACGATCTACCAATGCAACTAAACCCACCAGACAATCGCTATGAATACCGATCAACCTCCCTAAGATAGTGCATGGGAAAAAGCTTATAACTATATTTATAAGACATAAGAATAAATGATGTTAACTTTAGGAAATTAGAATCAAGAATGTTGGCCGTTGCACAGGGGTGATTAAAGTCGAGATATACAAGAAAAAAATATAAGCTTGACCTTAAAGCCCAAAAAGATTCGGCCCAAGAAAGTTTTGTTGGACCTTCAATCAACCCCAAGCCCGACCCGGTCCCGAAAAATCTGGAACTTTTTTTGGTTAATTGAAAATAAGCTTGAAAGGCCTACGTCCATGCCCAAACAAGCTCGAGTCTTGTGCATTTTTAAATCAAAATAAGCATGAAAAGGTTTGACTATGAGTTTTTAGATTTTTCAAACCAGGGGCTAATGGGAAGATGGGGAAGGAGACGACAATTAGGATGTCAAGTTGTTTGTCAACAAATCATAGCGTTGGTTGAGACAGTGGTTGCGCTCCAACTATCGTTGAGACAGTTGTAGTCGACAATGAGGAGATAGTTTGCTAAAGATCAAAATACGACCTTATAATGGCTTCAAACATGACCCCTTGTACTGTAGAGAAATTGGTGGCACCATTGTTGCTTTATTAGCATTTTTTTTATTACAAAAATTCTAACAAAAATAACAATTTAAAACTAATTTCATATAATAAAAAATTTACATCATTGGATACATAAGCAAATAATACTGAGTTATATGTCACATTATTCGTCATGTGAGCATGATAATCAGTTAATGCTTAAACTATTTAGCAAATGTAATTAAATGTTTGAGATGTTATTTTATATATAGAACAAAATATGTTACATTTAATATAATTTGCACATTTGCATTAACATTTATGTTTTCACAGTAAGATTAATTGCTTAATTCATGTTCAAAAAAAATTCATCAAATTAACCAACATGTGCTTTAGAATTATAAGGCCACTTGAAAATCTCTTTTAACAAGAACCGTAAACTACTAAAACGTTATTGATGATTATTTAATTAAATATATACAAATGATACATTAATAACCAACTTTACATAAAATTATATAAAATAGACGTAACCAATTTTACATAAAAATTATATAGAGAGAGAGAGGGGCACGTTTAAATGAAACCGTGCAATTCTTAGAAATCGTGTAAACTAATTTCGACCAATAGGAAAAATTTTATCTTTTTTTAATTAAATTTAATCATTAAAGATATATTGGTCATTTGCATTGTTTTCTATTAAATATGAAAGTTATTGATAAATCTTAATTAAGGTAACATAATAAAGGAAATTTTATAAATGATAACATTTAAATATTTAATTAAATTATAATATTAAAAATTGGATTTTCTTATATTGTGTCTCGGTTTATTACTGCCAAGATTCATGAAAACCGTAAGTTATTAGATTAATAAATCCATGAAAATCAGTAATATAATAAAAAAAATTCATGATACCAGTTTCATACATGGTGAAATTGGTGCATTGAGTAAGTGAAAATGATTATGAAATGAGTGCATGATGAAATGGGTGCATGATGATATGAGTGCAGCATGAAATGGGTTCATCATGAAATGGATGCACTGAAGGAAGTGAAACCATTTAAAAAAAAGATAAAAAAAAACCTGTGTAATTAGCTAAAAGTGAAGCAATTTCATTATCAATAGCATGAAATGACAAATGATTCATCAAACCATGCTGGTCGATAAAATGGGTGATTGAATAAAGTGAAACCATTTCGTGGTTTCTAAGAAATTTTTGTGTAATTAGTGAACAATGAAACAATTTCATTATCAAAAATGAAACGAATTCATTTATCAATAACATGAAAATGACAAAATTTGATCATGATTACGTTGATTAGCGTATTGATGAAACTGTGAAACCATTTCGTTCATGTAATGTAATACAATTTTTTTTATTCAAAATGATTCATTATGTAGATTTGATTATGATGTGTTTTATTTATAATTTGAATCTATTTAATGATATAACATGATATGGTTGTCATTAATAAAACCACTACTAAAGTTACCATTTTATCCTTATATGCTTTATAAAATAAATTTTATTTATTTATTTTAATTTCCTAATATAACATAAACTAATCTTGACCATTGATCAAAAAAATAGATTGATGAGATTGGTTTACATAGTTTACATAAATGAGGGTGGTTTTCATTTGATCGCTCATATATATAGGGGTGCATTCAAATAAAAACCACTTAATTTGTAAAAACCGTGAAAATCTCATTCAACCAATCATAATTTTTTATTTTGTTCATTTTTTTGTAATTATGAGAGGTTGATTAACCATTATTATTGTGTAGGGTGTTAATCATGGATATTATCATCTTCATTATTTTAATTTTAGAGAAATACATGAAACAATTTCATTAAAATTTCATTAAATATTATATGAAACAATTTCATAACCATATATACAACAAATTTATCAAAAAAAAGTATTATATGAAACAATTTCACAAGATTAAACAATTTCATGAAATTTTTTCATAAGATTAAACAATGAAATCAACGTATGAGAGTGGTTTGTACGGTTTTTACAAATAAGGCCTTCAAAGGTTAAGGAGTTAGGAGCTTCTAGTTTAGGAAATTGATTGAAATAGTTAACTTTTCTAACTAAATTTATTTTTTAATCTTTTTTGAACCCGAAATCCTATTTTAATCAGAATTTACGTAAATGTCTTACATATTTACGTAAAACCTATTTTCTGATTTAAGAAAAAAAGAATTTTCTTTAAACAAGTGAGGATCTTTACACACACAAAAAAATCGAATTTATGTAAATGTGTAAGACATTTACGTAAACTCTAGATAAAATAAGAATTCGATCGAAAAAGTTGTTAAAAGGTGAATTTAGTTAGGAAGATTAACTATTTTGGTCGATTTCCCAAGTTTTAGTCGTGCCTATAAAACTCTATGGGTTTCGAATCTGGAGCCTATCACGTTCATTTTAGGTAAGCTATAAGCTAGTCGGTTATAAAATAAGAATTCGGAATTTTTTTTATAGATTATCAGTTCAAGTTTCTTTAGAACTACTTGAGATTTTTTTGTATTAATATCTTCAGAGTCTCATGAGTTCAGTCAAGATATGAACAAATTAATCTGAATATCTATAATTAAAAAAAATATTAAAATAATGTGAGGGTGATACTGATACATCTACAACGTTGTTGTCTTTTGTTACGCTTTGAGTTCTCACCCTTCGTTTAGGATCCAATTTGTGAGGGGATATGGTGACAATAAATTAGCAATCGTTGTTCTTGGTTTCATCTATTACAACTGTAGTTTATTCCTGATTGGTTGCTTGAGGTGTCTATATTAATCACATTTGTTTTTTACAATAAATAAAATAAATTTTATAATACCCATAAAATATGGTATTTTTTGAATATGTGGACCACGTAAATAAGGGATATGATATTGTTTCTTATACTATATTCTAAAGTATTTGATGGGAAAAAAAATCGTTTTTTGAACTAACTACATAGACATGAATCTAAATTTTTTTAAGTGGTGACATCATTTGATTATAAGAAATAAACATAAGGATATTCATCACAAAATTATCATTGTTCGGTTGGTTGGTTTTTTGATTTTCCAGTGTGAAGTCTTGTGTTCAGATCTTTTATTGTAAAAAAAATCAGAAACATAATAAATCTTAAACTAAAAGTAAAAAAATAAAGGAATGACACTAACATAATTCAAACTAAGTCTAGGGTGAGAGAAAAGTCTTGCAAATCAACTCTACCACTAGAAACTTGTGTCTTCATTGTAGTTTCAAGATATATATGATGACGTACTACAAATTGATACGATAACACTTTTAACAACTCTATAATTTTTTACACTATGACGGATAAATGAATTAAACCACTTGGGTCTGTCCCTGTAACTGATAATCAACTGAGAAACTCCTTATATTTACCTCATTTTTCTTAAAATATAAATTATTTTAAATATAATTTTTTAGGTAAACAGATTATATCAATGAAATGAACATTTTTACTATTTAATTTGATACCAATATTGATATATTTGTTTCCAACATTTTAACCTGGTTTTTCAAAATTTGATCACGAGTATATTTGCATGTAAGTTCATACTAGTATCTAAATCATATTCTTAAAATCATTTTTTAGATTCAACTTTACTATTTAAAGCAGCTCCCGTTGAAGTTTTTATAATAACCTATTTTTTGTATTTTTTCTTGTCAGTCATTTCTAACTCATCAAATTAAGAACTTATATAAAAGACTACAATGATAGTTTATTTAGAAACCTCTTTTACGGGTCTCATGTATATTTATAACACCAATAATACATACATATTAATAAGAGTAAATTACATTCCGTCCCTATGGTTATGTAAAAATTTGGATCAGGTCCCTCAAACAAAATAATTACACGTATCATCATCGTGGTTTCTGTTTTATTGCGAATTAGGTCCCTGTTGTTAATTTCATTAACTTTGCTTCAGTTAAGTCAAGGACATTTTTGTCTTTTTCCAATTAATTTCATTTTCTTTTAAAAAAAGGCAAAATATACATAACTTGTATACACATACAGACATATAAATACAAAAACAAAACTTTACAGACCTTCATTGGTCGCCTCTTTATCATCCATTCTCTTCGATCTCCGCTATCTCATCGCATTGTTCTTCTTCAACGATTGCCATCCTCAACGATCTCCTCCACCCAATCACATCCTCCTCTTCTGATCTCCTCCATGGCTCCATCCCATAATATTATTGTCCTCCTCTGGCCTCCATCCTCTCTGAGCTTCAGATCTACATTTACAGTATTTGTATACATCAACAAACCCGTTTGCTTTTAAGGGTTTCTTTGATTCAATATATTCGAGATGAGTTGTGAATCGGGTCGAGTATCTTGCTCCGTCACTCCAGCCCTTTGCAAATGCCTGTATCTTGCTCCACCGCTCCAGTCATTCGGGTTGTGATTAAAGAATTATGAATAATTGTAAAACCTACTAACACCAACATTTTGGATGGATATATTTGAATCTAAATTAGATACAAATGTAGTAAAACTCTATTACATCTTTAAGGAATTTGATATATCAAAATTGAATAATCTTAATGAGTTTTTTACATCCCGCTACATTGCGCGGGTAGACAACTAATACTATATTACATAAGTTTTGGAATGTCCAAGAATTTATTTGTTTCAAAAAATTGTCCAATGATTTAATCATTCCAAACACTAAAGTCCATTGAATTTTTTTAGACTTTTTCCAAGATTTTTACATTTTCTTTGTCTCTCATTTTCTCTATTTTAGCATTAAGGATAACATAGCTATTGAAACAATAAAAATATTAAAATCTCACTTTTCTTTATTTTAATATAGTTGTTAAAGATAATCTAAAAACAACTACAAGATGGTGCCTGATTGATTTGAGTTTGACTTCAAAGGTCAAAAGTATAAGGAGGTCCCATGTTCAAATCCAAGGAAGAATAAAAATCCCCTTGTGGCACAGAGATTCAAATGCGACGACTCCGGACTATTTGAAAAACATGTGATCGTCCTAAGATTAGTCGGCTCGCATGACAAGTTGGATTTTTAGTTTAATGAAAAAAATAATCTAAAAGCCTCCTTACAATAATAGTTTTTACAAACCGTTACACTTTTTACTAATAATTTTTTTACGTTGAAGATATTTTAGTTATTCTCTGGAAATCACAAAAAATATACAATAAAATTAAAAGCTGAGGTTTGTAAATCGAGGTCGAATCGGGGCTGTATTCAACGCGTCACATCCTTCACCAAATCCAAATGTTGTGCGCTGTGCGCACCATACAAAATTTTAGATCTGTATCACGCTTTTCTTTGCATCCTCCAACTTCCTTTTTCGTTTTCCACCCCGTGATCCGGCTATCCTACGCCTCCTCTGCATAGTTTTCATTTTATTAATAAAAAAATTAACCATTTTCTCCATTTTATTTTTTTAAACAATTAAGCTTTAAATTACCATTTCTCTTATTTTTTTTCTTTAAATAATTAAGCTTTAAATTCATTGGTTCATTACATCTTCAGTTACCTTGTTATGTAATATTATCGACCATTAAAATAGATTGTTGATAACCATCTTTAATCAATAACTGTTTGTTAGATACAAATCATTTCCCTTTTCTTTGTCATTTTTCTATCATGCTACGTTCGGTTCGTTTACAGTCTTAGTCATGCTTAATAAATAAGATAAGTGATATTGATAATCGTTTGTTCGATAAACGTTTAAAAAACAGTCTCAAACACTAATTAGATAATTTATCACTTCTTACTACAAATCACCCATTTTTTTAATACATAGCTTTTCACAATTCAAATTATTAAAAAGTACTATAAATGGTGAAAATATCCAAAACCAATATTTTATAGCTTTATTTATTTCAAAATAAATGTAAAAAATAGTTTTTTTTTCACTCTTTTAGAATAAATATAACATATTTTATACAAAATTTATATGAAAAATAATTTTTTTGCCTATTATTATGGTTCATAAATCTACTCATCATTTGATTTTGATTTTTGGGATTTATGAAAACGACATTAAGAGCAATTTTTAACATGTTTTTAAAAATAAAGAAATAAAGGTTTTTTTTAATTTTATTACAACTGATTATTTATAAATTTAAAAAAATAAACGTTTTTTTTTATTTCTTTTTAATAAGATTAAAAAATTATAAAAAATCTTTTAAAAATTATTTTAACAATATTTAAGATTTTCATTTTTCACAATACAATGATTATTTTGATACATGGAGTATTGATTACGTTAATTACAAAAATAATTTAATATAAATTTATATATTTAGAATACAACAACAATTAATCCAATAAAATGCAGAGTAGTTTACGAGTCTCTTTCCTGTGTATAAAAACCCATATGCGTAATACGCACCGTTTTCGTCTTCTTCCGACGACAAATTTTGCTCGTCACCCCTCTTCTCCTCTGTTTCCTTTTTCTCTCTGTGCCTCTTTCTGAATGAACATCCTTCGCACACGTCCATTTACACGCCCAAAAAAACAAATCAACAACTCCAAATTCCGCCTTTTTTCTTTCCTAAATCCATACCCAATATTCATCCCGAATCGCCCATGATCATCGCATGCATGTGTTATTAGTCAGGACGTATCAATATCATGATGGACGTTGGTGGTGAATACCCAATCCTCAATAAACTAATCGCCGCCGTCAAGAAACCATCATGGGCGTTTCCACTGCTTTTATTTACCCTCGTCGTCATTCTCAGCCTCCAAATCACCACCAACGAATCCGGGTTTCCAGAACGACCCGTTTCCGACACGGGTGTTGGCTTTTCTTTGTCCGGGTCGGATACATGTGATGGGTCGTTGCCGGTGAGGGAGTTGAAGATGTCAATCGTGGAATTTGGTGGGGTCGGTGACGGAGTGACGTCAAACACGGCGGCGTTCACGGAGGCGATGAGGAAAATGAAGAGTTTTGAAGGGAAAGGTGGGGCCCAGTTGAATGTTCCGAGAGGGAGGTGGGTCACCGGCAGTTTCAATCTCACCAGTAATTTCACATTGTTTCTTGAAGAAGGTGCTGTCATCTTGGGCTCCCAGGTAATTTCACATGCCCCCCTGTTTACACGATTTAATTTATTTTTACTGGCTTTCGGCTTTAACTTCAACCCCTTTGTGGAACTGTATAGCTTGAGGAAATTAAGTTGTTTGGTACAAATTGATTACTTGCCAATCAGAAAAGTCAAAATTTTGACTTTCTGGATCACAATTTGTTGCTTAAAGAGTCTAATTGATGGCTATATAACAACAAGACTTGATTAGAATGATAAAATATCAATTGTCAATGACTGATCAAGAACTAAGTCTGAACATCTCGTTTAATTTGGGGGAATAGTTCACAGTTTTTTGGTAGCATAAGCAATTGCAACTTTGACTCAGAGCCAAAGATCTTGAGTTGAAATTACTTGCTTTAAGTTTCAAAAGGTGGTGTTATCAAGAGTTCTTTACTTAAATGGACTAAGAAACCCCTCAATATGTGTTTCCAAAAGTGCTACCAGAATTTCGAAGACAATTTAGCAACACTGGAACTGTTTGAAAGAAGATTCGGGTCAAGGTTTAGATCGAGTATGCAAGCATTTTTTCGAGAATTTTTCATTGCACTATCAAGTCTTCGATTGATTCTTATGAAGATAGGAACCTTAGTGGATTAGTGGGCAACCTTTTATGGCTGAAAAGAAAGATGCTTTGGACAATTGACCAATCTTTGAAGCTTTTGAAAGATTACTTTTTCTCGAATCAAATTCTACAAGTAATAAATGTTTTTTGATCACAAAAGTTGGAAGTGGGTAACTCTTTGTATCTATTATGGTTGAGTAATTTAATTTGCTTAAAGTATTTTGCTGCCAAATAAATGAACTAGCTAGGGATGGAGGTCCTATCAATTTCGACAATTCTTACGAGTTACGAAAACAAACCTGTTAGAAATATTTCACAATATTAGTATAGAGTGGTCGGTTGGTTCCGTGTCTTTGCATGGAAGGGACCCATGTTCGATTCCAGGCTACAATTTTTTTCTAAAACATATAAAAACACCAAAATTGAAGCTGAAAATTAAAAAATCTGACATTGGTGGGACTCGAATGTTGGGTTTTGGTACAAAGTTAGCAACATTTACCAACTATGCCATTAAAGACTTACGCTAAAGCTTCAGTATCAAATATATGGTGGCACAAACACCTTATATTAAAGACTCATTCTACATGTAATTTTATTTCCCAAACGAGGGAACCGTGAAGCAGTGGCCCATGCCACCGTATTGGCCTATGTAGGTCTGCCCCTGCTTCCGTCCACTCTATCACTACATAAGGTGTTTATGCCATTTACCTAATGGTCGACAATTCTTTAATATATGCATGTAGAATGAGTCGTGCAATTCTAGTTTTGTTGTTTGTAGAAACGTGCTTAACGAAATAAGGCAGTGTTTGATTATTTTTGTGTTTGTAGCTTTCAATTGCTATAAGAGATATCCTTTTTCCAAGCAACAATTCCTAAATCTAGAGCAATGCTGCTATGTGATTTGTACATCTTATGGTGAAAGTTGTGCAATTTTTATAAAGTTACCAATTACAGCTTTAGAAAATCGACTACAATTGTGTAAATGTTTTCTTTGTCCAACTAATTTACCAAGAAGGATAAAATTCCCATCATTCCTTAATCCTGCTTACCGGATGCCATAACAACATTCATGAAGATATTAATAGTCAAATTGTTCAATGAATATTCTAAAGTTCAAAAGGTTTCTTATTTGTTCTTCCATTATTTACTAATAATTATGACCATGAAAAATCTTCTTATACACAGAAATTTGTACAAGTTGGGACAGTTGCCGAGGCTATCCGGTGTTTTCTTTGTTATCAGTTCTTGATTTTTTTTTTTTTGAATTTTAGGATCCGAATGAATGGCCTATTATTGAACCATTGCCTTCTTATGGAAGAGGGAGAGAGAGATTGGGAGGGAGACATATAAGCCTAATTCATGGTAATGGTCTCACAAATGTTGTCATTACAGGTACACCATCTCCTTTCACTTTTCTTGTTTTCAATGATTTATACCAGAGGTGCTTTTGACTATTAAAAGGGAACAGGTTTCACACATGATTTGATTAGTGTCACTAATGACCTTTTTTTTACCATTTGAACACAACAAACCAATAATTCTCAAACAGGATCAATGTTGCTATAATGAATCGTACATCATGCCATTAAAGTTTTACGTTTATTTGGATTTGGGAATTCATCTATGGAAAAAAGGAATTCATCTTACCCTTCCCAGACCCTGTGGGGGATTTACTGAGTGGTTGTTGCCTGTTTGGTTGGTTTTCCATCAAGTCCTGTATGGATTAATCTGTCCGTATAGATTTAGAAGATTTTTGTTTGGGAGGGTTTTCTCAGGAAGGAGCATTTTAATTGGGAGGGCATGTTCAGAAAAAAACTTGGCTTTTTACATAAAGCTCCCCCTAGAAGCTTACTGAATAAGCCACTTTCTATATCATTAAGCCACTACCGAACAATCATATATAGCTAACCAAATAAGTTGTTCGTCCCATTAAGCTCATTAAGCTGCTAACAAGCAGGCCCCAAGTCTGTTTGCTTTATCTATGGAAAAAGAGTTAGCTTTGTACAAACCCTGCCCATTGTATTCCTCATAAAATAAGGAACCTTTGTGCACCAAAGTCATCTTGATATCTTGGCAATCATGTAGATGGACTCACTAATACAACAAATACGTTTTTGATAATTTTGGTTAACATTAGAGGCGAATTCGATTTTGGTCAAATGGTCTTTTTCGAACCCAGAGTTACTTCTACTTTGAAGCTTCAATACTTTGATGTTGATAGTACCTTTTACATAATATAATACATGAACCTTTCTTCTCCTTCTAAATCCCTAAAAGTGACTTCTTTGATCTCAAAAATCCTAATACTTTAACTGTGGAACAAATGGAGTGTGTACTAAATCAACAGTGCTTCTTTTTAATATTCTTGGAGATGACGATGACTAATTTGATTCGTGGAGAAACATGCTGGATCATGTTACCTTTTCTTCTTGTTGCCACCAAATTATTGTCATTATTACTTGTTTGGCTCTTTAATTATTTAAATACTAATGTTGTGGTGGGAAAGTCATGACCTTTAGCATTATTTTATGAAATAGAGAATCAAGATTATAATTTTTAGGCCAAAATATTCATCTTATTTCTCACACTATAAAGGGGAATCATACCTATAATTGTGTACTTTTTTATTAGCAAAAAAGTTCTATAAACAATGATCTGAATGTTGATCCTTCTTTCCAGTACTATGCTCCATTTTATCAGATGGGCAGATTAATTTGGTTTCCTATTAATTATATTATCTGAATATTAGAATAATACCATGTTCAAGATAAAATGGTTGGTCAAAGGATCATTTTAGGATCCAAGGTTTATATGATCTAATTTTATCTTGAACATGAAAACCTTTGTTCCTGCTAATCCTGTTTTTGCGATTTGATTAGACAGCGTTCTTTTTTGTCCAAAATATAAGTAAATCCACATCAAATTGACATCCGAAATTGATTCATGTACCACAAAAGTCAAAAGTTTGATTTTATTTGCACTTTGTATTTACATGGGTTGCAATCATGATGTTGAAAGATGAAGAGTTTTGAGTTTTGAAGAGGAGTGTCTGATATGTAATTTGTGTGTGATCTCAGGGCAAAATGGAACCATTGATGGCCGTGGTAAGATGTGGTGGGACCTATGGTGGAATAGGACTTTGGAACACACTAGAGGCCACCTTGTTGAAATCATGAACTCAAGAAATGTACTCATTTCCAACCTTACCTTTTGCAATTCTCCATTTTGGACCATCCATCCTGTCTACTGCAGGTTCGATCTTCCTCCTTTTTTTTTGGTTTAGTTTGACTTTTGAAAGTCAAAGCTAATATCAAGATTCATATGCCTACTTTAGTTTCTTTAGCACTTGGTTTCATCATTCATGTGGTCATAAAATCTCACTTCTTGGTTCTAAAAGATTATACCCATTTTCAAGATGAAGATTGGTGGGAGTCATATTACCACATCCCATATCTTGGAGACTTTCTACAAAACCGAACCTTGTGGGATTAGCTAAATTGGCAATAAGGCTTGGTCCTTTTAAGGATTCTCCCAAGAGGTCATCGGTTCGAGTTCTGCAAGGTCACTGGGGATTTTCCATGCTGTTCTCCATGGCCCATGGGAATAGTAGAATAGTATAGGTGCGCGCAAGCTGGCTTGGACACCCACGGTTAAAAAGAATTAAGTTTATGCTACTTTTTACCAATTATAAAATAAAAATACACAATAGAAAACTAAAGAAAAGAAAAACAGTTATAGGTGGGAAAAGTGTGAAAAAATGCTTTTCAATCGTCTTTCCATCATTAATTTTTGCCAAATTCTCCAAGGTCCATATTTCGATCTAAAGGTGCTTGCTTTTGTATAAAGAGTCATTTATTTAGGTACGAATCTGTTTTCATAGGGTCCATTCGTTTAGCCCATTTCTTCCATTTCTGCTTTATGAGACCCACCTTCATTATAGCCTTACGGAAATAAGAAGTGAAATCCAATATCCATACCTTACTTTCGAGTGTCAGTTTTGTTCGGAAATAAGAAATGAGTTGTTTTTATTTATTATCATCTTTATTTGCTTAGGATGTTTTGGCACCTTAAAACATTGAATAATCATGAATCTTGAAACACCAAGCACATGATGCTTCACATGTTCTACATGATGAGCATGAAGCTTGCACATGATCTACATTATGAACAAGAAGTTGCACATGATCTTGTTCAGATTAATGAGCATATAGGGCTTCCACCATTAGTACCTTAGGAGATAGTATGCTCACTAAACCAAACAAACTCGGTATATTAATATTCCACCTGGAGGTAGGGTCTAGGGATAAGATGTATGCAAACCTTAATAACCTGAGAGATGTTTCCGAGATCCAATAATAGATGATATTAAATCAAGCCGGTGTCATCACTCGAAAATGATAGAACTAGATTAAGGAACTTGCATTTCTATTCTCAATTATGCAGTGGAACTAAATGACCATCGTTATTTGCAGTAACGTTGTAATAAAAGACATGACGATATTGGCTCCACTTAACGCCCCGAACACTGACGGCATAGACCCAGGTATCGCCTTTTACTGTACCTATCGTAATTTGACTCGATTAAGAATATCCACAGTGGAGCTTTTCAAAGAGCTTTTTGGAGAATGTTTTGGCCATCTAAGCTTGTGAAAAAGCTCGGGACAAAAAACTCCTCTTGCTTAATTACAAGCTCTCAAAAAGTTCGGTTTTTGCTTGTGGGTCACTTTTTTCGGAAAAAGCTCCAATAAAAAAGTCCACCGTTGTGAATGCTCTACGCAAATTCAAGAAAGCAGTCGCTTTTGCCTCTCCTTTAGCAGTGAACTTATTTACGAATTCCCTTTGTATCGTTAAAAGTTGCTTGAGTTTACGGTTTGCGAATAATTAACATCGTAGTCCATACTATTACAGATTCTTGTACAAATGTTTGTATCGAGGATTGCTATATAGAGAGTGGGGATGATCTTGTAGCCGTGAAAAGCGGGTGGGATCAATACGGCATATCCATGGCTCGTCCAAGCTCCAACATCATTATCCGGCGAGTGTCGGGCACCACCCCGACATGTTCCGGAGTCGGGATCGGCAGTGAAATGTCGGGAGGAATTTCAAACATCAGAGTGGAAAATCTTCACGTTCGAAACTCAGCAGCTGGTGTTCGAATAAAGACAGACAAAGGTCGAGGGGGTTATATCGTGAATATCACCATCACGAACATTACAATGGAGGGAGTTAAGGTGCCGCTAAGGTTTAGCCGAGGTGCCGATGACCACCCCGATGACAGGTGGGACCCAAATGCCCTTCCGAGGATAAATGGTATATTCATAAGTAATGTGGTTAGTTTCGGGTCCAGAAAAGCCCCTATGCTACAAGGGATCAAAGGTGCACCTTTTGAAGGAATATGCATGAGAAATGTTAGCTTGCTCGGTCTACCGCCAACCGTCCGATGGAATTGTGAACACATATCCGGTTCCGTTAACGGTGTTTTCCCGTCACCGTGTCCGTTGTTGCAGAGAACTGCATCATTGACTTGTACGTAGCATGCTGGAATAAGAATCACATGTTCACAAACTCCTTGTCCCCTGTATGTCCACCAATCGTATGAAGACACATCATTTTTTTTTGAAGAAAGAGAATAAAAAGATAATGATGTATCTTCAAATGATTGATGGGATGTGACAGGTGGAAGTTTGATGATATCATCGGAAGGATGATTGTTGGCCGGCGGCCACCGGAGTACAACGTTAGACGGGCAGTGAAGAGGTACAACTTTGACTGCATAGGTCATACGTCTGTGGCAATGCTGGCTACATGCATTGGTGAGTTGTATCCAGTGCATGAAAATATGCACTTATTTAGCACACTTGAAAAGAGGGACCTTTTTTATATTTGTTTGTTTTTTTATTTATATTTTTTTTTATTTTGATAATGTAAATAGTCAAATAGAGATGTGATTTGTATACGATAATATAATGAAAGGATTTTGAAAGTATTGTTTTACTGGTTTTGTACAAATATATGTTCGTATCGATGCATTTAATCAATTCAATCCGGTTATATTGATTTGGAAGATACGTTTTGATGTATTACAATCTTACCCAATAAAATAAATTATAGTATTGACTCATAATTTTAAATACTTATCAGATAAGCATTTAAGTAAACAGGTGATAATTACTACTAACAAGTAGGGGTGAGCAGCGAAACCGGGTACCCGGCTATAGAACCAGAACCGCCTTGGAACTGCCGGTTCCGGAACCGGAACCGATATGAGTGGTTCCGGTTCCTAAAATACGGAACCGATTGAGAATGGTTCCGGTTCTCAATTTTTCGGAACCGTTACCCTCCGGGTACCCGGTATTTTTCAAGTAAAAAAATAATAATTATTTTTTAATACCAAATTTATATTAGGTTTACATCTTGAAAGCACGTCATCATCTTCATTATTCATCTAAATTCTCCATATAAAATGATTCGTATTTTTTCAAATTGTGTATTCACTTGGATTCATAGTATGTAATCGTTAAACTTTGAACATTTACGATTATAGTATGTAATCGTTAAACTTTGAATATTTTCTATTAATCTATTATAGTTTGTAATCGTTAAACAATATTTGTAACAGTTATTTTGTATAATTTGTATTCTTGCTTATTTATTTAGTGTTTTGGCAATGTTTTATCTTTTATTTCTAAGTAATAAAATTTTAATATTTTAGGAAGCGGGTACCCGGAACCGGAACCGGTTCCCTACGGTTCCGGTTCCGGTTCCAAAAATTTAAGAACCGCTCTAACCGATTCCGGTTCCAATATCTCAAAAACCGCCGGTTCCGGTTCCAGTTCCTATCAAAAAGGGCGGGTACCCACCTATGCTCACCCCTACGGACAAGTGGTAAGAGTTGAACTCCCCGAACCAAACCTGATTCCAAAAAGAAATCCAAAAACCGGGATCCGACCCGGTTTACCAAACCTGATGTAATTCTTCAATCGAGCTTTCCCATCCCTACTCAGCATATGGGGTGACGTAACACAATGGACAAACTGGATGGTCCGACCGTTGGCCACGTCAATTCTCTCAGAGTTGGCGGTACTTTGCATCCTTCTCTCTGCCTGTATAAATCATCAATGGCGATCGCCCTTCCCATCCCAATGATCCAAGAACAAAACCCTATTTCTCTCAATAACGACAACGACGACTATGAGTCGCCTCATTTCTTCCTTTGTTTCTCTAGGGTTTGCCACTCGAAGCCGGACCTCTTGTTTTCGAATCAATGCCCTTCGCCGGTACTGTGATCATCGTCAATTTTCAGCTAACAAGCATCCCGGTATCTCCGATTCTTCCTCTTCGTTTTATAGGTTGTTTAATTTAATTGGTTAGTGGAACGGAGTGATCAAAATTGTTATCTCAGCGATGAAAACTGATATGGTTTGTTTTAATCTGGGGAAGTAGAAGCTTATACATAACCTAGTCCCTCGTGATGATATAGGAGGGTGCGAAGTGTGATTGTTAGCGGTATAGTGTAATATCAAGGGGCTAATCATAGCTATGAAGCTTGTGTTTTGAAAAAGAATGTTGTTGAATTCATATAGGTTACCACTAGAAGGATAGTTGATTACGAATTTATAATTCTATTAATTGTTTTATAACTAGGGGATAGTTTATTCAATAGGAAGTTGTTACGTTGAAGAGACAGAGAATTTTGATATAATTCCAGTAGGTGTTCGACTGTTCGTCTCTCTATAAGAGGTTCATGGCATTTGGATCAAAGCACCATCTTTAAGATAAAGAATTGATAAGGATTTATTTTAATTTTGGGATGTATCATATATAATCATAAACATAGTGTAATGGCTTGGGATTATGTAGGATGGTTTGAAGTGTAATTTTAAGGGTAAGAGTGTGAAGTACAAAGATACCAATTGTGATTTATGGCGTTTGCTAGATACCACGACCCACGTAGGGTCATGGAAGGGGAGATTTGCTTAGACATCATGAACTTTCTAGTCCAGAGGTGTTAGATACCACGACCCACATAAGACTATTGGAATAGAAAAAGAGAAGAAACGAGAAAGTAGCCGGTTCCTTCCTTGACCCAAAGAAGCATACAAGTATTTTGGTGGATTGTGATTATGCAGGAGCACGCAATGTTGTATAAAAGGGCCAATGTTGATTTATGAAATTTGTATATTTCTCAAAATGTAGTGGAATATAATCTTGTTATGGTTAGAATGATGATAATCACAACATCAATGTTAGCGTTTTCTAAATGGAGGGAGCAATTTATTTTAAAGGAGTTCATTAAAATGGAGAATTGGCAATTTCAACTTATCGACAATGTGGTTGAATAACTTGCTTGCTGTTAAAAATAGTTTAAAAGTTTAAATCTACATTCTGGTGTATTTTTGTTTGTTAGTGATGGTTGTTGATTGGTTTGTGCACATTGATTATGATTTATGTATTATGTGTTTGAATTCAGATAGTTTTTCAGCTTTTATCTACTGAATGTGGTTATGTAGGCATAGAAATTCGTGGAACAGAATCTATGTGCTACTTGTATGGCATTAAACGTCAGCTAACTAATTTCATGTACCATCATTCAGTTACTTATAATAGACAGGCTATCTAGCTTAGCGAGAATGGTAATCTTTTTGACAAGGTGTAAGATTTCCTTCCACTCTTGCTGTTTTGTCATTTATGTCAAAGCTACTGCTGAATAAGCAATAACGGTTAGATTGCTTACCATAGAATCCATGTGAAACACCTCTACACATGGCTCTGGCAAACTTTAGGTCTTCTGGCCAAATAGTTAATACACCTAGTGGATTTGAACCTGTGGCTTGATGCTTCATGAGGCACCAAGTCCCAGAGAATTACCACTCACATCAGAGGTTTATTAGTCAGTTGCAATGACTAGATGCATCTGCCTATGATAAAGGACATGCTTACTACTACAACTTAATAATCTGAATAGTCAGAACTTTAGATCTGCCAGTTCTTCATGCATTACAAAGCAGGTGCACAGACTGGGATATCCTGTAAAACTGGTTGAGGACATTTGTTTGTTTGCCCATCTTTCTTCAAGTTGCTCGGTAGGAAAAAATGGAGAAACAGTACAAAGGGTCCCAATGCACTTTAGCATCCTATCAAAAAGTGACTTTTATCGGAAATAAAACATGAGTGTTCTACTTCAATAAATCTAATAATAAACAGTGTATATCTATGCAAATTCATTCCTGTCTCATGTTTTCTAATTTTTATGCAAATTCATTTTGATTCAGGACCAGTTACACAGTATAAAAAACTTGTCAAGGAAGGACAACTGCAATTTGATCCTTATCAGGAGAAAGTTGCTTTGGAACTGGATAATTTACTAACAAGGTTGAAGCAGTATGAGAAAGAAATGGAAGAATATCATGTATGTTTGAAACCCAAGATGATATGTTTCTTTTTATTATTAAGGATATGATTCATTTATTACTATATCTAGGAGAAGCTAGCCAAGTGGGAAGAGAATCGTGAGAACGAGAGGCGCAGGCTCTTATTGAAAGAAGCTGAGAGCAAGCAGTACAGGAGTGAATCAATAGAAAAAACACACAATAGATTCTTGGGCAGATGGCTTGATCGGTAAGGCTTATTATGAAACAGTATGGAATATTCAACCTTGTGATTTCCGTTACCAAATTCCCTCTTAATTTACCAATACCTATGCATTCTATTTCCTTTGAGCTTGTCATTGATCTTGGTCTTACGAGCTGTCAGTTGTATCATTGCTATCTTCGTGTACTAGGTATTTCATCTGGCTAAGATGATCATTGTCATATAAAAAATAAAGTATTTGTGAAATTTTAAGTAATCCGTAAAAGCACTTCCATTGTTTGTCTCAATAGTGGATATATTGATCGGTTAAGCATGCCAGAAGAATGATCATATAACTTACAGTGAGATCATCATTATGATAGCGAAGACTTGTTTACCAGAAATAACAAAATCCACCTGAAAGTAGAGGTAGAAATAAATTCTTCTAGTTGCTTAGTTTGTAACGTTACAAATACTCATTAAATAAATAAAATTTCTTTAGCAAGTTTTTATGGATAATTCTTTACTCTGTTGAAAATGCCAGAAATTGATTTTTGTGGTCCCGGGTTTTTTTCTTCTATATTATATTTGTTTTTTGCATTGAGCTGACAATAGCACAACAGTAAGCGTAGTCCCCTTGGTTATGTAAAAAAAAAATACACTTTTGAATATGTAAGTTCAGACTTTATGAAGCAAGTTTTGTTTTGTTTTGTTTTGTTTTGCTGTACCAGGAAATAGTTACTGAGAATTTGACATATCGCTATAGAGTTGATAGTGATGGTAGAGTAACAATACGAAATAATATGATATGTAAACTGAAAATATAAGTTTTTTTGTTTCTAATTAACAACATAGAAAAGAGATTTAGTATGTAAAGGTCCATAAAAAATTGTGTGAGCAATTGCTACATTTAACAGTCCTAACTCCTGATGGCAAGCAACAACAAGAAGAAACCTTTTATGCTGAACTAGTTGGTGAGTGGCGACCATGAATTTTCCATGTGGCCTCGTGATGCAGAGGGTTTTATGTTTAAATAGCATTTAAATATAGTATGAGGTTCAAAAGATCATGAATTTGTTTTATCACTTCTATATCTAAATATGTATCCAATGGATTGAACAAATATCTATCTCTGAGTATTTTCAATAAACTATTGCCAATCTAGATAATTATTGAGTTAAATGCAAAGAATGACAGCCAACTAATCTCTAATCTATAATTTGTTCACCTGAAAATCACTGAGCAACGACTTGAACTTTGCAAAAGTTTTGGGTAAGGTAATATGGATCAAGTTGGTTGCCATTTTTGGTCTTAATTAAATTTAAAAATGACAACTAACTTGGTCCATATTTCTATTAATGAACTTTTGCAAAGTTTAAGCATTTCCTTGGTGAGCTTCAAACTTCGGTGACCAAATCAAAAATCAGAACAAGGTTGGTGCCATTCTTTGCAATCAAACCAAAATTATTCCACTCCTTTGTTTATTTTCAACTTCTAATATTAAGAAAGGGTGAGAGTTACCTTTATGAACCTAAATATAATGCAACTTGACATTAGCACAATGTTGCTTTCTTTTTTTCCTTGATTAGTGAAGTTTCGTTTCATGCAGGAAAAAACCTGTGAATGTAGAATCTGGAGTTGGGAAATGGGTCTCATATCTGAATCGAGAAAGGAAGTTGGATTCAGTAGTCGGAAGACGTCCCAGTGTACCCCCAGCTCCTAAAGGATTATATATCTACGGGAATGTTGGAAGTGGTTTGTTGCTAACCCCTTGTCATAATTGTTGGTGACAACTTTAGCCAACTTGTTGTTCATTTAGCCTGTTGGGGATTTGGGTTATTTATGAATGTTGCAACGTCATTTGTAATTTCTTGCATAAAGTTAATCCTGCTTACAAGTGAGCTATTGCTTATCTTATATTTTTCTTTATGTACTTGATGTAGGAAAGACGATGCTTATGGATATGTTTTATAGTGCCACCAAAGGAGTTGTTACGCACAGAAGAAGATTTCACTTTCATGAGGCGAGTGTTCAATTGTAGTTTGTGTACTGAATAATATGCCTGTCCATTTATATTTGAAAAATAAGAATTCCTTCATATGGTGGAAGAAATGTCACCCTTGATGGTCTCTCCTTCAGCCACTTTAAGAAGTTGTGTCTATCGAGACAGTAAGTCTGTTGGTTTTAGTAAACTAAAAGGCTAATTCATACCAAGGCAGTATGAAGCAGCCAAATTACACCTCAATTGAGAACCATCAGACTGAATAAAATATACCACAACTGAGAACCATCATCCAACTGAGACCAATCCAATATGTGAATCTGAACAAGACATGAAAAAATTAAAGACCTTGTGTAACTAGTTAAAACTGATATATGAAATACAGAATCCCATGCTTTATATAGTTATGTGGATATATCTCCTCTTGTAATACCATATAATATTTCTGGACTTCACTGTTAGTGTATGAACCACGTTTTTCTTATATATATGTATATTAGCAGGCTATGCTAGAGATAAATGAGCATATGCATAAGGTTTGGAAGAATCAAGTACATGAGAAGTCCATGCAGTCGAGCCTTGCTAATTGGATAATGAACCTTCCTTTTGATACTAAAGTTAAGGAATGGGTAGCGGCCGAAGAAAGTTACAAGGAGGAGATGCAACTGAAAAATATTCTTCCAGCTGTAGCAGATAAGTTTCTTGTCGATCAGCGCAGTGACCGAAGAGGAGCTAGCATTCTATGTTTTGATGAAATCCAGGTGAAGCAATTAGCCCTTAACTGTTTAACGAAGAAAAAGAATTGAATAAATAAAAGCTTGACCGCTCTCTATTTTTTCATTTTTTTTGAAGCATTATAATTTATACTACGGCTGGTTCTTGAACTTATACAATAAATAACAAGTACATGGACTTTTATGTTGGCATTGTTTGTTGATGCAAGACAGTTGAAAATTGTCAATAATTTCTTATCTTCTGGTTCCTGGAAGTATATTTATTTTGGGTTTTGACCTGTTTCACATCATTATGTATCCACAATAATAATCATATCAATGTGTTTTGGCAGATTTAGCCATTTGCCAAAGTTAAGCTTTTCTAATGTCTACCTAGGTTGCACATTTTGACGTTTTGGTTTGAGGGGTATTTGGCTTCTGTATCAAGAAGTGGGAACTGTGGAATGTCGGGATTGGATGATCTGACGTGTTTTGATAGGATAATCCATGTCTCTCTTAATAGCTATAAAGTTCTAGTAATCCTATAGAAAGGGTCAAAACTATATATGTGCCACTTGAAATTGATTAGGGTTTGAATGTTATGTTAGTGAGGGAAAACATTGAATAAATAATGTACAAGATTGTCTCCTGGGACTGAGAAATTGAACAAAATAAAGAAAGTGTAACCCAACGAAGCTAACAGGAAATTCTGAATCCTCCATGTGGTAAATATTATAGTTCTACGTTGTTTGTATGGAATTGATTCTATCTAATCTGCTTGGGCATGTAGTATCGAGATCTATTTTTTTGTCAAACTTGGATGTCAGTGTTTGCCGAGTTGAAAATTGCCATTTGCAACTAAATGAATGACATCCATATCCTGGTTTTCATTACAGACTGTTGATGTGTTTGCTATTGTGGCCTTATCTGGAATTATAAGCAGATTGCTAAGTACTGGAACTGTTCTTGTTGCCACCAGTAACAGAGCACCAAGTGACTTGAATCAGGTGAGCTTTAAGCAGCATGACCATGATTTCTTATTTGTACGCTTATAACCATAGATCTATGTTGCAACGAATACAGGTATGGGTAATAGGTAGATAGTTGGATTGGGAGATTATAAGTGTATATTTCTGTATAGGATATAAGCCTAACACCAACTTAATTAATGAAATAAGTTTTTTATGATTCATATATTAAAATATTAAATATCTAAGACAAATTCACACTAAAACAGTAACCTAAGTCTTATCATGTTGCTTTTATTTGGTACGTCGATATTCATCCGTACATTTAACAGAGTAACTTGTGTGGTTTTGTTTTTTCTCTTTTGCAATTATCAACTTAAGTTTGTTTTCTAGCCTGTCTTTCGAATTTGTAAATTGTTAATTTTCTTCTCTTTTTGGTAAAAAGAAAGACGAAAACTACCTCTTAAATGTCTCTGTTCCGTATACCAGCAAAATTGTGGTCAATAATTTACTTATACAGTCGACACTGCATTAGGTCTGAACCATGCCACACACCGCACCCCAAAAACACTTGATATGGGGTGCGGCAAGGGATAAATGCATCCGTGCTTCCTAGCTGTTGGTGGACATTCATTTGACAACATTTTCTTCTTTTTTGGTGAATTTTCCAAGTTTTCGATTAATGTGGCTATCGATGTGTGATGTCTTAAAAATACTTTGGTCTATGCTTGTATTAATTATAGCCTATACATGTCATAAAACCATGAAATCATTCATTCTTTATTTCCTCATGTTGATTCAGGATGGTATGCAATGGGAGATCTTCCTGAAGCTTCTTGCTAAATTAGAAGACCACTGTGGAACTGTTTTGATTGGAAGTGAAACAGATTACCGTCGTCTAATATCACAACAATCTATAAACAGGGTGAGAACCAGCTAGCTGTTTCCTTGATATTTAAACTAAACAATCAATGTAACTTCCTTGTCATGCTTCTTTTTTGATTAAATTTTGCATCCCGAGCACCTGTGAACTAAAAATCAATCAAAACCACGAGTGGGCACAAGATGCAAATGGTGCATATACAATGCTAGAACTATAAAAAGGGACGAAAATGCATGCTAAAACTCGAAAAAAGACACACACAAAGCTCACTTAACAGTTATTCGGTGACAAACTATGATGTTTATCTTTGATCCACACAATTACTTTCATTTTGCATTTGTCATTTTGTTAGCACTGTATTAATTTTTTTTTGCATTTGGAGCAACTTTTCTACTTTTGGGGTTTCATTATATGGCTGAATAACTCATCACAGAAGCAAGCACATTCTTATATGAAATGGTTATACTCATATCTATGTGTAGGTGACCTACTTCTACCCTTTGAATGACATTGCAATAAGGAACTTTGAGAACATGTGGGATGACATCATAGGAAACTTTGGGGGATTGGTCAAGTCCGAAACCATCTCAGTAATGTTTGGCAGGTACCTGTTAAGTCAACAAGTTTTAGAATGCTAATAGTCCTTCACTTTATACAGCTCAGTAATGAGTGATCTATACATTTGGCAGAACACTGGAAGTTCCTGAAAGCTGTAATGGGGTGGCAAGGCTTACATTTGAATATTTATGTGGTCGTCCGGTACAGTTTCTGGATATATTTTAGTTTTACATATAACTTGTTTATATTCTGTTTTGTTTTTACTTAGTGCTGAAGGAATGTATCGGTTAATCCTCATATTTTTGGGTTGACTCAAGTTTTGAATTTGAATGAACTGATACTTGTTGAATGGTCATTTTAGTCTAATTTCACTAATAGGGGCATACAGATTTTACATAACCCCAAGGGGTTGGCCTAAGCAAAGGGCCCTTGGTTTGGCCTAGCGGTATTTGGTAACCCAACCTTCCTAGAGGTCCAAAGTTCAAACCTCACCAAAGGTGAGGAGTGTGTGTGAGTTTAATTTTCCGTATGTAAATACTATATACTTCAAAAGGGGATAGGGTTGGCCTAGTGGGCAATTCTCATTTCCAAACCTGCAGGTATTGTAAACTTGTTAGGGGCCACGGTTACGGGCTTGCAGGCCTAATGTTCGTCTAGTTCATGTGAAGAAGGCACTTGGTGATGAACTAGCTGTCCCAAAGGTGCCAGAGACCATAGAAAAAAATTGCTTCTGTATATGGGTTTTATGCTTCCAATGGAAGAAGTTTGGGTTTTTATCATTATCTATTGCGTGGTTGATCTCAAATGTACATTGCAGTTGGTATGAGGCCACCCTGCACCAAACTTTACTAATTCATTGAAATAATCAACTTATTTTCAACCCTTTTCTTTTTGAGTTAGTAATAAGCATCATCTTCAGGTCGGGGCCGCAGATTACATAGCCGTGGCCAGGAATTATCATACAGTCTTCATCTCAGACATCCCCATGATGAGTATGCAGATTCGTGACAAGGTACTTTGCTTATTCATTCTTCTATCTTGCTAATATAACCCATAAATTGAACGAACTACAACACAAAATTAGTGATGTGATCTTTTTTGAATTGCATAGGACCTGCCAGAAAAAATGCAATGTTTGTTTGCAAAAAATGTTTTGAATATTGAACAAGTGTCTAATTTGTAGTGAATACTGATGGGTAAGAAAGTAAATTAGGATTGAAACCTTACGAAGAAAGGAAATGTTGCATTTTTTTGGACAAGCTCAAAGAAGAAAATGCTGCAGTTTTTGGGATCTATTAGGTACCAACTTTTGTCAAACTTTAACCAACTTGAGCTGCTTTCTCTATCTAATTGGTTTATTAACTAATGAACATTTACTGTAAGTTGCAAACAACATTAACGAAAAGTTAGTCTTGCGCCGGGTTTCGTTGAAGAAGGAAAGCCATAAAGCTACTTCATATCAAATTTACGAACTCAATTAGATGGGTGAATGCAGCTTTAATAATATGAAAGTGTTGATAGAACAGATAAAATGAATGGGTGACTATATTCCCTTGACAGACGCTTCTCACATCCCAAAGTACATAGCTTATATCCCTGTCCTGATAACATGGCTATGTTTCTTATTTTTAGGCTCGGAGATTTATCATCCTCATTGATGAATTATACAACCATCATTGTTGCTTATACTGTTCTGCAGCTTCTTCCATTGATGAACTATTTCAGGGAACCCAAGAGGGAACTCTTTTCGATTTAGAGAGGCAAGTCTTTTCTTGTAGCTTTTCTCTCTTTCTGGTCTCTTTTAAAGGATCAAACCACCAAAACCATGAAACAATTGCTGGTCACCTCATCCAAGTATCTTCTAGTAAACTTAGGTTTTAGCTACCAAAGACAACAATTATTGTCATCTTCAACTTATTCATGTTATATGCAATATTAGTATGTGTTCTGCTTGCTGGCTTAATTGAAATTTGGATCTAGTTTAGTGTGTTTTCTTGTAAGATAATTGTAAGCTGGGTTGATGTGATCTTTTCTGCATCTATTCCTTCAGTTTCCAGTTTGAAACAGAGGCGGAAGGTTCAAAGCTTCGCCGAGATGTTTTAGCAGAGGGAAATATTGGTTCAGGAGGTGCGCCAGCTGGTATCACTTCCATGCTTTCAGGAAAAGAGGAAATGTTTGCTTTTCGTCGAGCTGTATGTTTTCTCTCTCTCTCTCTCTCTCTCTCTACATAGTATGGTGCTTAAGGAAACATCATCCCACACACGAGCCCCTTGTAGATTCACCTGGTGTAAACAGATACTAAATGGTGATACACGTATTCCATACCCACATCCAATTGAAAGTTGAAACATTGGACGTCCAAATTCATACCCGTATCTTGCGGATATCTAAATGATCTGTGCCAGTGTCCGGTAGCTGTTGAACATTTTTTTTCTAATAAAGAATCATATACCAAAATACCGATAAATGGTTTATTGTTTGGAGCCTGTATTCATTCACACTTTTTGGGGGGCACATCTTTCTAAGAAACTATTTATCAGTAGGCATAGTTCCAATACTTCTACCTTATACACATATGCATAGATAAATTACACATGCATAGATAAATTACACATGCATATCTCATATACTCACATAGATGCACATACGCATGTGGACATCTACATGTACGCATATGCGCATACCCATATTTATGCACATGTGATGTGTCTAGAGACATTACATCTCATCAATGCCCGCATAAATGAATAATGCCTGTGTTATTTGTTGTGTGGATTTTACTAGGGGTGTGCAAAACTAGGATCGGACCAACAAAACCTAAGAACTGAACCAGTAACAGACCAAACTGGAACTGGCAGTGTTCGGTTCTAGACTTCAAAAGAAATTGGTTTTTGGTTCCGTTTGGTTCAATCCGGTCAAAACAAGAACCAAACCGGTTTCTTTTAGTTTTTTTCAAACTCAAAATGTTGTTGTTTTAGGTTTGTAAAACAAATCCAAATATGCATTCAGTTCACAGTGCAGAGGAAGATGAAAACATAACATTCTGATAGCAATATTGATCACGTGTGATTTCCAGTTACGGCATATATAGTTCGATCCATTGCATGCTAAGATTGATGATGGTTGTGCGTGTAGGTCTCGCGTCTCATAGAAATGCAAACACCGTTATACCAGGAAGGAGTACGGCTTTACCATCCGCTCTTTCAGGCAGACCGTAATGGTCTTGAGGGCCATAACATCACAAACATTTTGCCAGCGTAGCAACAATCTTGAAGGTATTTTTTGTTTTGTGTTTGATATAAATATACGTCCACATAGAAAAAATTGCTGAATAATAATGTTGTATTCGCGGTGTAAAGTGTAACCATTCAGGGGTGATAATGTTTCGATCAGCTGATCCACCCCTAGTGTAGATTTGGGCAGTTTTCATATCATTTGCAGTTATACCATCTCAAAGGGTTGTGTAGTTTAAGTTGGTTAAGCTAAACCTGCTGGCTCGCCCTGGGTCAGATGCACCTATGGACCGGACTGGGTCACTGGGTGGGCTGGGTTAGATAAATCAGTGGACCGAATTTCTCTATGACGATTGAGGTTTATGTACAATAAACTTGTGTCAATAAAATGCTTACATCTCATCGAACATTTTGCATGAATTTTACTACAATGCAGAAGGTCCCGTTACTTCATAATTGTTGTATAACCAAACCAAATGATTGAATGAATTCTATATGTTTTTCCACACGTATTGCTTCTGCTTCTACCCACCTAAAAGGGTAGAGATATTGTTTCTGTGAAGACTTCCACCTTACAGAATTCATTTTTAAAGTTGAGTACTGTTCTATCACCCCCCGAGTTCGCACTTGAAACATAACTTGAACGGAAGTGGAAAAAGAATACGTGTTGCTTGATCTTGGTTTGGTTTCACATCGATTCAATTCAATTGCTTCAAGCTAGCTCTTGCATTCAATCGATGATTATTTATATATCGTTTGTTCGGTTAAATTCTTTTTACCATATAACTTATTTTCCAAACTTCTTACGGTCGACTTCAGAATAAATAAATGTACATTATGTAGCCTGTGGGAGGCACATGTTATGATGTTCTACAAGATAATTGGTTCAATATGGTATCTCGTATATCTTGATTTGAGATACATTTGTTATAAAACGTAATTAAGAAAATATATGGGTATGCAATCAATCTCACCTATTGCTCATTGCGACAAATTCAAGAATTTGGATCACAAGATTTTTGAAGATGAGAATCTTACATTTGGAGGTGTTTGAGAATGATTATTTAAAACAACTTATGCGTTTTTGTAAAAGTGTTTATTAACTTTTGTAGTGTTAAACCGGAGTTCTATAAAAAGTGTTTGAATTAGCGTATAACAATATCAAAACGCAATAAGCTGGTAAGTAGTTTTTTAATGTTTGGCAAATTTTACTTATACATGTAAAATGATCTAAAAAAGCATTCTATATTGTTGACTTATAAACTCCAAATTATTGCCATCATCTCATCTTCTCCCTCACCAACACCCAAAACCCTGACCCTAAATCGCTTCAAATTACATATGAACGGACGTTTCTGAAAAGCCGATTATTGGATTGATTTGATTCCTTGGTTTACAGGACCAGTTGAATTGTGTTTGTTTGAAGACCTTGGATCGATTCGATTCCTTGGTTTGAATCCAGGTCTGCGATTACTGGAACGATTCGATTGATTTTCAACAAACAATGTCTGCGATTGTGTGTGGGAAGAGATCGTTCTTTGAAGACCTTCCAACGTCGCCGAATTCTGCATCTCCTCTTGCTGCTAAGAAACTTCGTTGCTTCACTTCGACTTCTCCGGTTAAGGTTAAAAAGGTAATTTGATTTCGAAGCTGATAAGTTGTTTTTGATAAGTTAGAAGAGTGTAACTTATCAAAAACTCTTTACTACCGGTTCAACACCGGTATAAGCATTATTTTTTCTCATCCAAACATTCAAAACGACTTATTACCGGTACCATACGGAATAAATCAATAATCACTTTAAATAAGCAATTCCAAACACCCCCTTAAATCTACCGTATATAAATATTATATAGTTAAGGGGCATCATATTGGTCCTCTGAAGATTACTGTAACCCTGAAAATTTTAAACAAAAAAGTACACAAAATTAATTATATATACAAAAGTTCCATCGGATTTTCATAAAATAGAACCAACGCTAGACGTAGCCTAGCCTCTTCTAGTTATACTTGATGTATCAATTCACCCACCGGGGCCTAATATATGTCTACTAGCAACGATACGCTAGGGGCCATTTACCAAACGTTTACCTGACAAGTGCTTAATAGCAAAAGATATCACCCTCACTTACCTTATCGTGTAACATTCTTGGTTATCAAAATGAATTCTTGTTAAATGTTTTAAACCTGGTAAATGCTTACTGGGCAAAGTCTTTTCCCTAATTTACCAGGTAAGACTCTCATTCCTTGCTATTCCTGATTTTCGGTCTTTGTCATGCTTAATTGACAAGGTAAGTAATATCGTTGAGCAGCCGGTACACATTAGGTAAACGGCCCCTTCGCAGCACCTCAAATCAGGCTTTTTGGAGAGTTACTGTAAAGCCTTTTGGCCAGTTAGACACGTTAAAAAGCGCATTTGCTGTGATTGTGGGTCCCGTTTTTCCAAAAAAGTTAAGAAAAAACCACCATCGTGGTCATGGATCTCAACAAGTTCCTACCTGACTAAGACCGAAACATTATGGAGAGCTGCTAATTAAATTTAAAGATACAATTACAATCAACCCCATTTATGTTCGTTAATACTACACAAGAAAAGAAAAGAAAAGAAAACGATAATGATCGGTTGTAATCTTACCGAGTCTTGGCTTTAATTTTCTAGCTACGATCAATGATCGGTTCTAAATCTACTTCTATTTCCTCTCTTGCATACCAGCCGTTGTGTTCTTCAAGATCTGCATAGCGAAGATTCAATCAAATCAAATACATTTGAGATGAGAAAATGGAAGGAAAAGAGAGCGGGAGACATACATGTCTAAGCATCTGGTTCTCGTTTTGCAGCGTCGACAAACGCTCTTCAACCTCAGAATTTTTCTTCTCCAACTCTTTCACTCGCACCTCCAACTCCAACAAGTATGCCTTCTTTCTCTCCCTTGCTTGTTGAGCCGAAACTCGATTCCTCAACAACCTATTTTCATTCATTTCTCAGATTTACCATATCAAGTAATCAAATGGGAACCCCGTATATTTTACCAGATGGTGTAATCAAATGGGAATTCGATCACTACCGTGAGAACTTTTACCTTGTTTCAAATGATTTTTTCCATATAAGAATAACATTTAGTATATTAATTAACGTATATTTGTTTCATATGTACAGGTTCACGATGCAAAATTCTTTTATGTGTAATTTTTGTCTGACAAACACGACAAAAAGTTTCACCTTGTCAAACAAATATCTGTTAACCAATACCATAAATCTTAGCCTTAAATAAAAAAAGATCATATGAAATAAGACATGATGCAGTAGGGTTCTCGCAATTATCTGTATCAAACAAATTTGGACATTTGCGACTAAAATTGGTTTAATTGATTACCTCTTCAACCGCTTGTTTTCTTTGTCGGCCGGACTTTTCCCTTTCCTCCTCGTACCTTCGGTTGTACCTTGAACACGGTCTGGATGTGCAACGGATCCGCCCGATGCTCCAGCAGCTTCACCACCCATATCCGGCACTCTTCTGATCTCATCATCACTCTCCATTCCTAATCATACCACAAAAATTAAAATACATATCATATAACGGAGAAGAGCAAGAAGGGATCTCCACCTTGATCAATCCTAATAGAAGAGAACCATTAAATCAATTCTCTTCTAAATCGCAATATATCTGTTGTTCTCGGACTAAAAATTCCCTTCTTACACTTCTAGCCTCAACTCTTATTCTCACAGGATACTTCGATTATATCATAATTACCCCAAACTACTATTATTTCAATAGTTAATTTCATCCTAAACCATCTTTCTTTACCCATCTCAATGTCAGAAATAATTAATTTCATAACCAAATCTCATATAATCTTACAAGGACTAGCAGCAAAATACATGCACTTAATTACAGTCAAAAGCAATTGCAAACCATGTTCGACAACAAAATTAAAACTTCCACGACATTTTTTCGATATATTAAAAAACTCTTTAATCAAATAAGTCAACATTTCTTTTTATAAATCAATTTTGTAAACTAATTTTGTTTTTATGAAAACATAAATATTTGCGAACATTGTTCTTTGCTCCTGCTTTCAGTTTTTTAAATAAACGACAAAAATAGAAAACAAAAGCGTAATCAAACTACTATTTCATTGAAGAGCGTGAAAAGGAATTCAATTGCCATCTGTTGTTTTTTAGTTGTAAACAATAGTTATTTTAGGTGCAGTAGATGACATAAATCCAGATGAAATATCACCTTTAAAAAACCATGAAGGAATTTAATTTTCAGAAAACTACGAATGATTGTCACGCTCAAGAGATTCAAATGCCACAAATCAAATCAAAAGTCCTTCCAATTTTTGTCTCCAATTAAATAGATCACAACGCAACAAATTAATGTAAATGATTTATTTGATCTTCCATCTCAAAAATTCAGTAAGATCGAATCTCCATTGAACATGCATCTGAATTAACAACTGTTTTCGAGCTTGATCATCAAGAATCCAGATCCAAATTCAGTTTCGCAAGAATCGCTGAAGATCAGTTGAAGGAAACAGAAGAAATTCAAAGAAAAACCGACCTTCTTTGACTTCCACTTGAAGAGCAGAGCTTGAAGATCTCTCACTACTTGAAGGTAGACTCGCCGCCACGGAACTCGTTGCTGCTTGCTCTTGCATTTCGATAGTTTTCTAGGGAGAGAAATTATATATAATATATATATATATATATATATATTTCTAGAGCGAGAGATTGGATGATGCTGTTTTTCAACTTCTCGTCATAAAGGGCAAGAGAAGGGAGAAAGAGGGCGGGAGGATATTGATGTTAGAGAGAGAAAGTGAAGAGAGAAAAGATGATAATGGTCGTTGGATAATAATTGATCCAACGGTCAAACAAGTGTGAGCGTGGAAGCTTGCTGAGCCACAATGTGTCTAGGATGATCCAAAGGCAGGTGGATAGGATGCGTGGAGGAAAGGCTGACGTTAAGATGATGAAATGATCTAACGGCTGTAATTCATTTAAGTGGGTAGGTTTTGATGGATTTAGGGCCCACAATCTATATGCCTATATGAATCAGTGAATGTGATGATAAGGAAAGCTCTCTAAAAAGTGTTGTCTAAAAAAATCTAAGGAAATGGTGTGTAAATAACACAAATTTTGGCTATGTTTAATATAAACTAATTGTTAATTAAAGTTATCTTTTTTTTTTTTATTAATCTGTATATCTAATTCCCTATGCGAGCCGATTAATTTCACGACGATCATCTATTTTACGAACAGTCTGAAGTCATCATATTTGAATTTTCGTGGCCATAAGAGGATTTTTATTCTTTTTTGGATTTGAACCTGAGACCTTCAGATATTTTCGACATTTGGAGTCCAAACTCAAACCAATCAGACACAAACTTTATGGTTAATTAAGAATATATTTAATAGTTATGTTAAAATAGAGAGATAATAGATTATAGCAAATCGTTTTATCCATGGTTATGGGTGTCTTGTATGATAAAATAGATAAAAGATAAGAGGTCATCAGATCTTTAAATAGAGAGAATAATTATTGTTTTAATAATTTCCATCAATAAGAGGTATTGAAAATTAATGTTTATAAGAGAAAAATGATATTTTGTTAAATGTATTGAATATTTTAATAATATAATTGCTGGTATAATTGTTAAATAGAGTAATTGTTGGAGTTCAATGTGATTTTTTTTTAAATTTTTAACTTTTAATAATATATTTTAGAAAAAAAATATAGCATACCTGTAAGAGATGCTTTAATAAGTTAGCTGATAAAAAAATATGTTTGGTAAAAAATAACTAATAAGTTCGATTAAAAATATAAGATTACCAAAAACAACATCAAGAAAAAAATAGTCAATTACAATATTTCACAATAAAATTAACATTTTAAAAAATAGTTAATTTTTTATTATCAAAAATATATATTTTTGTATGTTTTCTTGGCTTATTTTTTATTATCAAAAATATATTTTATTTGATGGTATGACTTAATGTTTGGAATAAGATGAGTTCATCCATTCCCCTCATTCTTTACGTATATTTGAAATGAATTATAACTTATTTCAGAAAAGATTCTATGACGGTTGGTCCAGAATTGAATTGTAAGGTTGTAAGTTTAGGAAAAAGCTTAAAAAAACTCAACAAATTTTTTCATTTTAAATAGTTTAGTCTTTAAACTAATTTTTTTAACGAGAAAACCATTAAACTTGCTCATTTTAAATGATTAAGTCCTTAAAATTAACCATTAAACTTGCTCATTTTAAATGATTAAGTCTTTGAATTAACCATTAAACTTTTACATTATGAATGATTAAGATCCTAAATTTTTTTAAGAAATAAATAAATCATTGAACTTTTACTAGTCAATTAATGTACCTTTTTTGGAGTTAAAAGAATGTAGGTAACCAATTTTTTGGAAGTGTAATGGTTTATTTATTAAAAAAATATTCAGTGACTTAATCAATCAAAATGAGAAAGTTCAATGGTTTTTTCATTCAAAAAAGATTTAGGGGTTTAATCATTTAAAATGAGAAAATTTAATGATTTTTTTTTCATTCAAAAAATAGTTCAAAGACTTAATCATCTAAAATTGGATAGTTCGTTGGGTTTATTTGAAACTTTTTCCTGTAAGTTTATTTCAAATATATGAATTTGTAATAAATTAATATTATTAATTCTTAGTATAACACCCGTAATTCTGTTGTAACCATTAAGAAATTAAATTTAAAGAACAATCAGCTAACAGTCAATTAATGAATGGCGTCGAGAACAGTTGGTGAACAACCGGGAAAATGATTGGTACGCAGTGAGACACGAGTAGGAACGTGGTGTCACGCCATGAGCCGCAAGATATTCTGTTTTGGGTCTGTTTGGGCACGAGCGATTTGGCTCACGACTTGGGTCATGGCCAACGTCGTGGGAACAGTCTAAATGTGTTCTAAGTCAGATTTTCGAGGGTTTTTCTTCATTTGGTCATAACTTTTTTGTTTCTTATCTGATTTGGGCGATTGCTAAGGCTATGGTTTCAGAATGGATCAGACTACGCTAATAACTATTTAAGGAGGAAAGAAAGAGGAATAAATCTTCCTTGTAGATTTGGGTATTCTAGAAGTTCAAAGATAAGATCTAACATTTGTTTCTTGACCTAGGGTTTGGTATTTTACTTCTCCACCCTCCTTATCTTCTTTGTGGTGTTTTGCTAGGGTTTTGGGAGTATTTGTGCATATTGAGTCATGAATTCTTTAAAGAATGTTTAAGTTGTGTTTATTGGGTATTTTGAAACACCAAATGAACATTACTTTAAATGAGTTTTTTCTGGATATTTGAGTGGTTTGGTGTAATAATGTTATTTTGACTCTTGTAAGGATGTCTTGGGTTTATAATGATTTCTTTAGATTTGTTGAATGAGTTAAAAGGTTCATTGACCTTATTTGAGGTGAAATGTTGTTTTGAGATTTTACCCATCTTATGAACTTTTGATAGTGACGTGTTAGCAGTTTTTGGTCATAAGCGTGTAAATATTTGGTAAACGTCTTCTTTGGCTTTTGTGGAGATGTGATAACCGGGTTTTTCGGTTATAAAGTTCATGGTTGTTTTCTAAAAATGGTGTAAAGTTGGAATGTACAGGGTTATTTCGCCAAAGTTTTTCTATAATCATCAATAACAAACTCTTCTTAAGATTCAAGTGAATCCAATAAGGCTCGAGGAGAATGTGGCTAATTTGTACACCAAATCACTGCCTAATGCCACATTTGAGAAACATGTGGAAAACATTGGAATGTGAAGGCTTTCCAAACTCTCTTGATTAATGTACATATCAAGGGGGGTAGTAGATAAAAATGAGGAGTCTACTATATATGTGATATTGGTATGTGGTGCTCTTTCTTTCCTTCCTTCAAAATTTTATTTTTTCCATTGGGTTTTGTTCCTTGGTGTAAGGATATACCATATTGTTTTCCTAACGCTCATGATTAATGTACGAATCTGAAAGAATATTAAACTAAAAGGAAAGGGCTATCTATTGCAAAGAAACTGATGCATTGCACTATTTCATTCGTTCTAACTTTATTTTTTCCCACTTAGTTTTTATTTTGACATAAGATTTTAACGAGACAACAGTTATGCACCATCACTCCTTTAACTCGGCACAAGGGGGAGTGTTGTAGGTCAAGTGTATTATGGTCTAAAGGATATGACGATAGAGATAGATGCATCAGAGTTAGATTAAAAGTGAAATATCTCGTAGTTATCTATTTTTAACTCATTCTTATAAAAAGGACTTGTGATTAATGAGATTTACATGTTACTTCTCTGTATTCTATTGTTGTTCTTTTTTTGTTATCTATACTATCTTATAAAACAAATTTAACAAAAGTCTTAAAGTCTTAAAATATTAAATGACCAAGATACCCTTTATATCACTTTTTCACCCTCTCCTCTCCTCACATACACTCACCCTCTCACAACCGAATTTTTTTTTTAAATTATAATTTTAAATTTACACTTTATACCCCTATAATTAGTTAATTAATTTACTTTATGTCTTTTACTTTTAAATGTTTCATTTTAAACTTTTATCAAATTAATATACATAATCGTGTATCAATTAAAACATGTTTAAAAAATACATTTTTATTTTAACAAGTTACACCATTATAATCGTCTCGTTAATACCTTCGAAATGAATCCAATATTGAATAGTTTTTTACTTAATTATATTATTATATGTTATATATACTGTGAAAAAATATTTTTAATATTTACGATTTATACTTTTATAGTTATTTATTTATATATATACTAAATATTTTGGGGTTAGACTGTCCAAATTGCACTGTATAATATGTTCTGAATTAATATGTTCTTGGGTTTTTTTGAAATATATATACATGTATTAATTCAACCTTAATCTGAGTTTCTGAACAAGAAAGAGGGTAAGCAGTTGAAATTTCATTTTAAAACCCATCTTTTTTGATCTTTTCATGGCTTATGATCTGTCAAATTTGTAGTTTTCTTAATTGGTTTTGAGTGTTTATCTTAAAACTGAAGTTTCTTGGTTCTTTGCTCTTGGTGTAAATCAAACACATTTGTGGAGTCGTTTAAATATGTTGAATTTTAAATATATTGGATTTTAAACTGTCATACAATTTTTTTCCATCAATAGTCTGTAATTGGAACCATAACTCTTATTTATTCAAATTGTATTAATATGTAAAGATCAAGTGAAACATATATCATCGTTAAATCTTATCTTATAAAACCAGTGGAACTTTAAAATCGTTAAAATTCATGGCTCCCGCCGCATTGCGCGGATACACAACTAGTTCTATAAAAAAAGAAATATATTTTATTCGTTAAAAGATTTACAAATTTAGCAAAATTGAAATGAAGCCACTGATCCATATAAAAAAAAACTGTAGTCCCTCTCTGACCATTCGGTTAGCTAGCCCATCATTGAACCCTCGTACTTGAATATTTATCTCTTCAAGGTGCGTTTGGTACGCAGACATGACAGGACATGACAGGTGTTCAGCGTTTGGACAGGACAGAACAGGACCGAACTAGTTAAAATGACCAATTTACCCCCTGTGACATTTCAACTACATAACTACATATCAGACGAAACAATATGCAAAATCGATTTATCAATAGGCAAAACAGTAGGCAAAATCGATTTATCAATCGATTTGGTAGGCAAAACAATAAGCAAA